TAATCAGATTCATAACGAATAAAACAAATGAATCCACCGTCTAGACCGCGGTCTCTTTGATTAGACTGGCAGTCTTTGGAGCGGACCGGATCATTAACAACCCACACTGTATGAACATAGAAATGTATTGCTCTATCCGAAACTGTTTAGTTAGATTGATCTATAAAAAGACCGCTGCATAAACAGGAGGGAAGTTAGAGTTTTGCTTCGAATTAATAAAGATATATTCTTAAGTGATAAAAAGAAATATTAGTGTTGCCATCATCATATTATATTCATCGTATAGTCATATTTAACGTTTAAATTAAATAATTACCATTTAATATAAATAACTTAGTACAGTCTTGTGGTTTCACACTTCATGATTAAGTGATCTAGCTTTAGAGCAATTATTATTGTTCGCCAATGAACTCGTCCATTTATTTATTCATGAAAAATGATGATCAATAATACCATTGTCTGCATAATACGCAAATTAGATTAGGGTCACCGCACCGCAAAATACCAGCTTTTATAAGAGAATCACCTGTGAAAAAAATTCAAGGATATTTTCCTTTTCTTTGATCCAATCTTCCCTATACACTCCCAGATTATCAAGTAACTCAATATCGTCATTATTTCGTTCACAAGCAAACTTATTCAAGATAGTGTAAAAGGATACAGGAGGAATTCATGACAATAGACACGAGAGAATGGTTAATATTAACAAATAGGAAAAATGAAATGTTCCACGAAAAAATATACGGTTTATATAAATCAATTATTTTTTATTTATATTCCACACAATTTAGTAAATTTTTTTTTACTATTAGAAATATCACAATAATAAAGAGATTCCATATTCGGACGTTAATAAACAATGAAGTGACTTACGAGGGTCTAGATTGATCTGGTTTATAATTTATTAATAAAGAAAATAATAAAAAAATTCAATATTTACTGATTGTGAACAATTCAAAAATCAATCAGAATGAACAACAATAATAAGCAAAAAATCAAAATTTTATTAAAAGCACTAAAAAATTGTTAAAATTAAAAATATTTTCCTATTTCCAATTTATCCAAATTTATTTTTTTAGGCTATACCATAACATTCATTCTTTACCGCATTCCCACCATCTATTCATTATATAAATATATACAGTAATTGGCATTTGTCATTTTTGTTTTTTTTCAATATTTTTTATATTTTATAAATAAATTATATTATTGTTTGTTATAATTGTAATTTTATTTTATAATAAAGCTTTAAAATTTTTTATTTTTCACCAAAGAAAAAATTATGAATGTAAGTAATATTATTAATTATTATTATTATTAAATTTCTCTTCAATTTCAATTAATTTCTTGTTCGTTCGCTCGCTTACTCAATTCTCTCCAATTCCTTCATTTAGTCTCTACAGTTAAACACATCATTATCGATTCAAGCTATTAAAGATATAATCAGCAGCAGCCACGACAACCATGATGACAATGAGTTATGTTGCATTGCAGAAAATGACGCAAATCGTGCTCGCGTTGTGGCAGCGGCTATAAAAGAAGCATACAATTGTGCAAAATCAACAAAAAATGGCCATAATACCAATAATCAGGATTGGGATGCTGCTTGTATGATGATTATACAAAACAAGATATTAACTTGTTCGGAAAAAAGCACCATCGTCGCTCTTTTACGTTATAACAACAACAATGGTATATCAACTGATGCATCGTCAGTCACACAATCATCATCTGTAGTAGCGACACCGCCATATTAATTTTAATTTGCATCAACTTCTTTCTTTATAGTCCCTATCAATAATGAAAAGTAATTTTTAATCATTATAAGAAAATTAAAATCAAATCAAAATCAAAATCAAAATCAAAATCAAATTAAGGTGAAAAAACATATAAAAATCAATTCATGCGTTTATTGATTTATTATTATATAATAATTCTATGGAATATTTATGAGATTAGGTATGATCTAAGATTTGTTCCTCCTAAGAAATATATTTTACAATTTACTTTTACTATCTATCTACTTTTACTTAACTACTCTTACTTACTATTTTAATATAAAAAATATAAAAATAAAATAAAAAATAATCATGCCATAATTATAATCACTACCACTGCTAATACTTATTTAGCGGTACTGATTTTTATCTTTTGTGTTACAAATATTTTTTATTTTTTTTTTTGAATATGAAAAAAAATTTTTTTGGTGAAAAATGAAATTTATGTGAAATTCAAAATCAGCCAATCAGAATTTCATATAGATTTCAATTTCAATTTCAATTTCACATATACAACAGTGATAAATAAATTTATTTCTCCTTTTATTTGGGAAAAAAAAAATCAAATTATTCCAAATTAAATAAAAATAAATCTTATCTATCTACTATTTTAATTTAAAGAATATGGCTACTGATAACGTATACTATCATTGATTTATTTATTTTTTAGTTACATGTATATATATATCATCTATTAATTATTGTTTGGGGTAATGGAACAATTTTAGGCTAGTTTTAATGAGGCTGCTAAAGCTTTTGGAGAGCTTGCTTCTAGTGGGAAACTTAGTAATGAAGAGAAATTAGAAGGTTATGGTTTATTCAAACAAGCTACCATAGGTGATAATACTACAGGTACTAAAATTATTATTATTATGGAATTTAGCATTTTTTTATAATCATATTTCTAATAATTCATATATTACATTATATTAGCTGAACCTGGTATGTTCTCTGGTATGGAAGCCAAAGCTAAATGGAAGGCTTGGGAGAGTAGAAAAGGTCTCTTTAATTATTTATTTTCGTTATATCATTGTAGCTAGTAGATAGTATTCTTAATAGTATCTATTGATAATATTTGTTGATTACACCCTAATCTATCCATTCAATATATTAATTTTAGGTCTTTCTAAAGAAGAAGCTCAAAAAAACTATATTGAATTAAATGAGAAACTTCAAAAGAAATAATTCATGTAACCAATCAAATAAATTATTACTATTTATGTCAAGAGTGTATGTGAGCAAAAATTATTTATAATGCAATATAATAATATTATTATTATGATTAGCATTTATTATTATTAAATAAAATATTTATTTTATAATTTTGAATTTGTCCAATTTGGTTTACGTTTTTCACGAAATGCCAAAATGCCTTCTGAAAAATTCTCACCACTAATCCATTTTTTAGTTTTTGATGAATTGTAAAGTTTTTGTTCTGCTTCATTCATCGAACCTGATTCAAGTGATAATAAGATTGCTAATTTTGTGATTTGTATGGCATCTGGTGAATTGTTTGTAATCATTGATGCCAACTTTAAGGCTTCTGACACCACATCCTATAATAATTGTTTATAATTAATTAATTAATTATAAAATTAATTAAAAATAAATATAATATAATATAAAAAATAAACCTGTTCATTTGGAACTATTCGATTTACAATTCCTAATTCTTTACATTCCTTTGCAGTAATATATCGACCAGTAAAAGCTATTTCACAAGCTCTTTGATATCCTTTTTAATCCATTTATTCATTTCATTTAATTTAAAAATAATGACAAAGCAACTACAATAATTAATTGTTACTTTTGATTACCAATAAATCTTACTAATCTTGTCAATCCACCATTTAAAGCAACAACTCCTCTTGTAACTTCCTATTTAATAATAAATTGTAAACTTATTATGTACACTTTCATTTATTGAAATAATCATCATCATGTTTTTACTGGTAATCCAAATAATGCTTTCTCGCATGCAACAACCATATCACTTGCCAAAACCATTTCCATTCCACCTCCTAAAAATAAATAAATCGATGGATAGATTGATTGATGGATGGATCAATCTATTAAATCAATTCAAATTCATTCATCAAACATATACATACCAATTGCCATTCCATTAACAGCTGCAATCACAGGTTTCAACCCATTATTTGATATCACCCTACGACTCAACCCACCAAATCCACTTGAAGGAAAATTAGATAGGACTGACTGATTATCATCATTAATATTAACATGGTCACCAGCAAAGTCAGTTTTTAAATCCTGTCCTACACAAAATGCTTTATCACCAGATCCTGTTATCTTTAAAAAATAAACAAAAATCAACTCACTAAACCACTAAATCAAATTAACCTCCCAGTCCAAAAAAATACTATACATTTAAATACATACATGCATACATATATATATGTATGTATGTATTTATGGTAAAAACTCACAATTGCAACTCGTAATTCAGGCTCTGATTGATACCAATTAAATATTGCGTCTAGTTCAAAATGTGCTGGCATATGAAGTGCATTCAGTCGATCTGGTCGTTGTATAGTTATTACTAGAACATGTGGATGTTGTTTTGGGAATTGTAATATTGTGTATTTGGTTGTTGGTGGTGAATTGTTATCATTAGCTGACATGTTGGCCTCTTTTATGTTTATTATATTTTTAAAGAAATGCTATCAAAAGTTAATCTGACGATAACAGTGGACATTGCAGATCAAATGTCACTTCCATTAATATTAATGGTATAGTAGGTGTCTAACTAATATTGTAAATTTATTATCCTTAAACAATACCTTTATTAACTAAAATCTTTACAAACATTTACTGCAAGTCAAATTGTTACAAATAATTTCTATTTTCTAAATATTAAAATAAATAAATAATAATAATAATAATGGTCACGTAACGCCTTTTTATTGTATACACCATTTACCACAGATCTATTTTTTTTTAGAAAAGAAAAAATTTAATTAATGCAATGTTATGGTAATATATTGATAGTAGTATTAATAGCAGTAATAATTAATTATTAATTATATAATAAATAAATATATTCATACTCCATTTAATATGTTTTAGATAATCAATTAATTATATTATTTATATTCAAAAACCTTCAATTTTCAATAATATTTTTTAAATATAATAGTAATAATAATAATAATAAAGCCAATGACACTAAAGCAAATATATGATAATTATGATAATAAATTATAATTTACAAGTTGCAATGCTTCAAAGACTTCAATAGGTAGTAAATCAATTTAGTTGTATCTCGCTTTTACTCTCTCTTGCATTAACCTAATGTGGATGTGGCTTAATTCACCTACTGAAACAAGTTTTTACAATTAAAGTGGGACGTTTTGTCATTTTAAATTTCTATAATTAAAAACCGATTCAGGATTCTGGCCATGAATTAATTTTCTTATTTTCTTATGATAATTAATACAATGAGAGATCATTTGTATTTTTGTAAATTGGCATGCGTAAATTATAGACCAGTACATGGAAATGGTATATATATTTTGTACTCATATATTGTATATGTTTTATGTGCCATTTGTAAAAAAAAAAAACTAATTTTTAAGAATTTACATCAATACTGGGTGCACAACATTCTAAGAAAATCAAACTAATTAATGTCATACAGTCAGACCTCCATAAATGCACCCTCCATAAATGCACACCCTCCATAAATGCA